AATCTCTTGAACACGGGAGGCCAAGTTTGCAATGAGCCGAGATCACGCACTGTACTCCAGCCTGGATGATGATGACAGAGCAAGACACTGACTCAAAAAAATAAAATAAAAGGGTAGGGCTGAATAATGATACTTATACTTCTTCACTGGGTTGCTGTCGGGAGCAAGTAAAAAAAATATTGAGAAGCATTAGAGTGATTCTTCTGCCTCAGTGCTTGGTGTATGGTGCATACTGAGTGGATATCAGCTGCGCTTCTTTTCTGGTGCATGTCCCTAGCACAAGTGTGAGGTGTCATCGATGACCAGTAACTATTCTTTTCTCTTTCCATGTCCACAAAATTATCTGCAGTCTAAATGAGGTAAGAATTTTGAATCTGCTTGGTGCGTTCTAAGGAGTTATCGAAATGAAAGGGGTGGGTTTGGCAGTGGCAGAGAGAGGGGAGAGTCAAAGAACAGGCGCTGGGGTCAGTCAGAGCCCTGCTGGGTCAGCCAGGCTGAGGCTGGGCTCTACCACATCTGCCTCTTCCCATTCAAGCCCATTAGGCCCAGGGCGACAAAAAGTGAAATGCTCCCATGCTTTGGCCAGGCCCTACTGCTTTCTAGAAGACAGAATGCATCATCTGTTGGAAGAGTTCTCAAGGAACAGTCTTCCCCAGGAAGCAGACTTCCTGCCTACTAGGGCTGTTGCTGTCTTCTCTCTGGTGGCCCCACCTGGCTGTGAGTACACTTGGGACTCCACTGCCAGGAGGGAGAAGGACACGAACAAGGCACTCCTGGAGGGCCATCGAAGAGGAAATCAGCGTCCAGCTCTGCAAGAGCAGAACAAGGCCTGTTTGAGACACGATCAGGTTTGGGGGATGGAAAGCTAAGTGTCCTCCCATCACAGAGTGCTGGACCCTGGCTGCAGCTTGGGAGCGTCCCGTCATCAACTCCAGTGGGCTCCGTTGGTCCTTAAAGGTCAGCATCTGCCTTGGGAGGGGAACACTATATCCTTGAGGATTGTCAATACTGTCAGCAGGGGCCAAGGGTGGGCATCAGCTTGCTTTTGCATTTGGGAAGTCACCTGCTGTGCCTTCGCAAAGGTGAGAAAGAAAAGATTTTCCTTCCTGGATTTTCCATATTCAATCATTGCACAGACCCCGGGGTATGCTCTGGCTCTGCAGAGGATGAGGAGGTGTTTAAGTGTCACCTACAAAATAGAGGCAGCTTTTGCCAGAGAACTTGCTGTAAGCTGCCAAGCCATGAAAGCAGAGGGACAGGTGCTTAAGGCTCACTGAGTATCTGGGACTTATGGCTCCATTGTCATGCTCAACTCGTTCACAAAGTGACCACTCTGGAGTAGGATTCTGAACTCAACTTCTTTTTTTTGAGACGGAGTTTCACTTTTGTTGCCCAGGCTGAAGTGCAGTGGTGCAATCTCGGCTCCCTACAACCTCTGCCTCCTGGGTTCAAGCGATTCTTCTGCCTCAGCCTCCTGAGTAGCTGGGACTACAGGCATCCGCCACCATACCCAGCTAGTTTTTTGTATTTTTAGTAGAGATGGGTTTTCACCATATTGGCCAGGCTGGTCTCGAATTCCTAACCTCAGATGATCCACCCGCCTTGGCCTCCCGAAGTGCTGGGATTACAAGTGTGAGCCACTGTGCCCAGCCTGAACTCCCAACTTCTTACAGGGACCTGATCATCACAAGGAACACGAAGGCGGAAATAACCCATGTTCAGACGAGTTATTAAGAAAAATGAGGATGGCTGGGCGCAGTGGTTTCACGCCTGTGACCCCAGCACTTTAGGAGGTCAAGTCAGGTTGATCACTTGAGGTCGGGAGTTCAAGACCAGCCTGGCCAACATGGTGAAACTCCATCTCTTGTAAAAATACAAAAATTAGCCGGGCGTGGTGGTGCGCGCCTGTAGTTCTAGCTACTCTGGAGGCTGAGGCAGGAGAATCACTTGAACCCGGCAGGCAGAGGTTGTAGAGAGTCGAGATCTTACCACTGTACTCCAGCCTGGTGACAGAGCAAGACTCTGTCTCAAAAAAAAAAGAATAACGGGGAAACAGGGAGTGCCTCTTTTAAGCTGGACACTTCCTTTGCTTAGCATTTTGTATGCAGCCACTGTGCTTTTCCTCACAGGCATCCCAGAGGGAGGTATTATATCAGCTCCCTTTTAGGAATGAGAAAACTGAAGGGTGGGGAAATGAAGGCACTGCCCAGCATTACAAAGCTATGAAGGGGGCGGGACAACCATGAATCCAAGTTCTCTGCATCCCAAGTTTTTGTGCTATGGCACTGTACGACAGTACCTCCCTGAGAATACAGCATCCACTTGAAGAGTAGGGTGGTGAATCTGAGAGTCTGTAGCACCCACAATTCAGGAGCCTATATTTATCAATACCAGAAAGAGTGCTTTTACTCAGCACTTCATGAAACCAGCAAAAAGACTCAATTGACAAAGACTTACGCAGTAAGAGCAATGGAATTTACTATGCATCTTTACAACCAACAGAAGAATCTAAGCAATTTCGGGTAGACTCTAGCATTCCTTTTCCCATCATTTCAGCAATGTCCTGCCTACATCTGATGACTATGTAAATAATCCCAAATGCACTCCTTGTTCCATGTAAGCACGTTGTCTGCTCTGGAATGTCTTCCTGAATTTTTACTAACAAATTTTAGTCCTTGCTCAAGCCCTTTTATGAATCACTTTCAAATGTTGACTCAATAAGAATTGATTTCTCCAGAAATCTTTGCTTCCCTCCGACACACTCTGCCACGTGTCGCCTTCAGTAGATGCACGCTCCCTGTCGGTCTGTCTAAAACGTGGGTGAGCAATCTGAGTTCTCTTGGTGGGCCCTTCTTCCCTGGGGGGAATGTGCCTCCAGACATTGTGGAAAAAGATGAGTGAGAGAAAGCTTCCAAGAGGACTGTGGAAGGGGACCCAAATATGGAATCCCAGAGAGGGAAAGCAGCTTCCACACTGAGCGGAAGGGGACCCCTGAGGGGGAAATCCACCTGGATGTGGGTGACAGGGACTTTAAACCTGGGAGGAATTCCCTCCTTCTCCAAGCCCTTTGACCTCTGAAAGGAGTTCCTTTAAGCTTCTGCTGGAGTGGTTGACTTTGATAATTTTTCCGTGCCTGCGAAAATTTAAACAAAGACCTCTACTCCCTGGGTGGAGAGAGGGGAGGAGGCAAGGTTATGGCACTTGGAAGTTCTTGCCCTTGAAACTACACCCCCTTGTGGATCCAGGAAGAGAATACATTCCCTCAAGAGTACACTGAACAAAGGAGGCACACATATTTTTCTTTCACAGGCTGGCCTCTACTGCTGTGCTTGCCTCCATTGGCTGGAGCTGGGCCTCACAATCTAAACCATGCTAATTGGCTAATGCTCAAAACCTTTCTTCGAACGGTAAAGGCAAGAGAGAAGAAAGGAAAAGAGGAAGTCATTTATGAGGCAGTAACATTTCTAACTAAGGAAGGGGAGTTAACTATGGGCTGAGGCCTCCCTGGGCTTGTCCAGACATGTCAGGGCAGACATCTGGGCTAGGGTATGAGAACTAGGAACACAGAATATACTTATTTTTTTTATTATAACTAACAGCTATTTAGGATTATTAACAAAAGGCTTTAGAGTAAATCAACTTTTGAAGAAGCTATTATTCATCCTTAATAAGCTAAGAAGAAAGCGTTGAAGCGGAACTTCTATTTACTTTTATTTTCTACTCTGGCCCCCGTGGATAACGACCCAGTACTGGACTGTTTCCTTGCTGGAACCTGGTCGCCACTTCAGATTTTGCTTCCGTTGCTGCCCCTCTACAGCCACATTCCTCCCCACACCCTGCCAGCCACTTTCCCCATCACCCCTGCTTTCTGCACACACGCAGCCTTGGAAATGACCTTGGCCAAACTTTCTAGCCTGACAAGAAAAACAGCCTTGATCCCTTAGGTGGGGGTCATTTCACCTCATGTGCCTAAGCAGGGCATTTTCTTGAAAACAACTCGTTATCTGGGTTCTACATGGTTAAGATGTCTCTGCTACACAAAACAAGGGGCAGAATAAATCCAGAGCTCTATAAACACCCAATATGGAGCCGTGGAAAAGATCAGAACACACGCATTTCTAAATGAACGACAGCGGAGGTTAACGGAAGCATTCCGCGTCTAAATATAATGAACCTATAAAATAATGACTACAGTGATAAAACTAAAATACTTCCAGGTGTTAACTATCGATCCCTTCTTGTGAAAGCATTATTGCAGCCATTTAGTGAGTAGTACTAGGTTGTTATGTCTCTCCTGTCTGGTCCATTTTCTCATATCTCCTTGTACTGTCCCTCCCCATTTGCATTGGCCACCTCGGTATGCACTCTGCGCCTGCCAGAGCAGACCCTTTCTGACACTGATACGTGAACCCAGTGTAGTCTTTGCCTGTCTCTCTGTCTGTCTTCACTTTCTGAAATCCATTCCCGAATGGGAATGGTCCCCGCAGCAGCCACACCAAGTTTGCGGTTGCATTTCTATTGCTCTTGCTCTTCCTGTTCCATTTGATGCTGTACAAACCTGACCCAAGTAGGACTGTAGACAGAGCTACCTTCACTGTGTCGGCCTTCAGTGCAAATCATCCACTTAAGGGACCCGGTTTCTGCAGAGAAGGGAGCTTCATAGACTTTCCTGGCTTTAGGTGAACAAAAGATGTCTTCTTTTGTTCTTCCCTGGCTTGGGAAGTCTATGAACAAAAAGATGTCTTCTAAGAATTTCATTCCCCTCCATTGCCCATTGTTCATCCTCTCCACCAACCACACTACCAGAAGGGAAGGTACAGAAACTCAAGTTCTTATAGGCCAGGTGTATCTGTTTTTTAGTGCTACTGTAATAAATTACCACGAACTAAGAGGCTTCTCACAACACACATTTCTTATTTCACCATTCTAGAAGTCAGAAGTCTCGAATGGGGTGACAGAGCTGCCTGCTGCAGGCTCTAGGGGAGAATCCATTTCCTTACCTTTTCCAGCTTCCAGAGGCCAGCTGCACGTATTGGCTTTTTATCTCCAAAGCCAGCGGCAGTGTCTTCAGATCTCTTCTCTCTCTGACCCTGACACTCTTGCTTCCCTCTTATAAGGACTCCTGTAATTACATTGGTCCCCCCAGGATAATTCAGAGTGATCTCTCCATCTCAAGATCCCTAATTATATCTGCAAAGTCCTTCCACCATGTAAGGAAACATATTCACAGGTTCCAGGTATTAGGAGGGGAACATATTTGGGAGGCCAATATTCTGCCTGCAATCCTACTGAGAAACATAAACGTCTAATAGAAAGCATTGCAGATTCTTAGACCATCAGGATACCTATGAAGTACACCTGAAAGATCAATAACACCCTCGTAGATGAGGGAAACTGAGCCCCATAGAGGCAAAATGCTGGCCACATACACACAGCAGCTTAGGGGCCTGGCAGGGTCTAGAATCCAGCACTTGACTCCCAGGCCAGTGCTCTCCACAAAACAATCCAACTCAACAATCAGTCAGTCTTTTCCACTACGCATTCTCTCCTCCTGCTTTTAAAAAGAGCCACGTTGGCAGATGGAGCCTCTGAGTTTCCCAGCTGCTTCTGGGACAGCAGGCTTCTCTTGAAGCTGAGCGCCAGGCATTGTGCAGTCACGTTCTTTGAAGATCCTTTTCTTTCATCTCTGCTCAGAATAGTACCTGCCATCGCGTTAGCCTCAGAAACTTCAGTGAGGATCCAAAAGATGGGTAAATTTATCACCTGGTGAACTGACCTACATTCTGCTTAATTGTTTTTGGCCTGACCATTACTCCAGGCATCAGAGTCAAAAGGAATAAAAGCGATGGTTACATCTAAATGCATAGAGATTTTTATGGCTCTGGTTGATCTCCCAAATTACTAATTGTCAGGAAGAAATTTAAAGGGAAAAGACTCTTAACATGGAGTTAATTTTACAAAAGAAAACCACACTTCTGCTGATGCTTCAGGAAAAAGATGAATCGGGCATTTCTCAGGGACAAGATCATCGGGTCTATTTCAGCGGCTCTTTTATTACGACATGTTGGGGTCACATTTTATTTTATTACAAAAATGCCTAAATCAGGTGCCATATCATTCTTATACATAAGCGTTTTGCAAAACACATAGTTTTCTCTGTAATTTACCAAATGTACCACATTATCAGATATAATTGGAGAAACGAAGGTTTTTCTGAAACATGAACTGAAGATGTCAAAAGATATTTAAGATGTTTCTAAGATCACTGTCAAATGCATATTATCTCTGTTCTTTGAATGTTTCAGTCGTAAAACCTTTCTGGAGAGATTCAAAACGACATTCACTTCCTCCTGATCTGATCATTTTGAACATTTGGCAGCTGTTGAGTTTCATCTTTTAATGCATTTCCAATGGAGATGTACATAGCTTGGTTTGTTTAATATAATTTGTTGTTTATGCTTCGGTATTCATGGTATTATCTGCCTACATGTGCACAAAGGAGCTGGGTGAATAACTGTTTTTGTTTTTCTTCTTTCTTTTTAAAAAATTTTTAATTCAACATGTTTTTTTTTCCCCCACGTCTTGCAAAATATCATCAGAACTGGTAGAGTTTGCACATTTCAGCAAAAGAATGACGCTTCTTCAGATCTCTCCAAACAGCTCCCAGACCTCAGCTCACTATGATAAATGTAGGATAGGTATAACTCCAGCATGATAAATGACATATCAAGAGAATCTTTTGTTTAGTAAAGCAATTTTCATGTCCCGGTTGCAAGCAGCTAAATTGCTAATCTAACCACAGTAGGGTTTACACACAGCTGTCCATTTCCATCCTCCAACACCATGGACACCTCAGACTAAGCACAACCACACGAATTCATCCTTGTTCCCCAAATTCAGTCTTCTCCCAGTGCTTCCCATCTCAGCAGCAGACACCACCATTCACCACTCAGCTGTGTAATCCCCACACCCAACACCAAACCCATCAGTTTTGATCATCTAGACATCTCTTAAACACATCCATATCACTTTACCTCTGCTCATGGAGCCAGAGCTACATTATGACTGCAGTGGCCCCCAGGCACTTTTGTCTTTGTAGGCCCCTCCACCCTAAAAAAAATCTAAAATTATGATTTATGACTGTTGGTATAAAGTCAAATACAATATAACTCATCATTGTATTTAAATTCTGATTTTAAGATAAACTAAAAGAGCCAACCTCAGCAATGCATTCTCCAGCAGCAGAGGACCTAAATATTCAAATTTGCCTACAATCCATCAAGTTAAATGCAAAGCATTGCATTTCAAATGTTTTTAATTGAGATGAAATTTCCATAACATAAAACATCATTTTAATAATTTTAAGAGTATAATTTAGTGAAGTGACTTTTTTTAAGAGATGGGGTCTTGCTCTGTTGTCCAAGCCGGAGTGCAGTGGCATGATCATAGCTTGTTACAGCCTCAAACACCTGGGCTCAAGTGATCCTCCCACCTCAACCTCCCGAGTACCTGGGACTGCAGGCTTGCACCACTACACCCAGCTGGCTTTGAGTATATTTACAATCTTGTGCAAATACTGCCACTATCTAATTCCGGAACATTTCTACCATCCTATAAAGAAACCCCACAACTCTGAATTTCTCCCTCTCATTCCCTGACAACCAGTAATCTACTTTCTGTCTCTTATAGATTTGCCTCTTTGGGACACTTCATATGTACTTCACGTGGTAGGTAACTCTATGCTTAACTTTTTGAGGAACCGCCAAATTGTTTTCCTCCACAGCTACACCAGCAATGTTTTCCATTCCTACCAACAATGTTTGAGGGTTCCGATTTCTCCACATCTTCACCAGCACTTGTTATTTCTCCTTTTTAAAGAAATTCTAGCCATCCTAGAGAGTACAAAGTGATATCTCCTTGTTGGTTTGATTTGCATTTTCCTAATGACTAATGATGTTGAGCATCTTTTCATGTGCTTATTATTAGTCCTTTGTTTTATCTTTAAAAAAATGTCTATTCACCTTTTTTGAAGTGGGTTATTTTTGTTGAGTTGCAAGAGGTTTTAAAAAAATTTTATTCTAGATGCTAAACCTTTATCAGATCTATATCTGATTTGCAAACATTTTTTCCCATTCTGTGGGTTATCTTTGCACTCTCTTGATAGTGTCTTTTGATGTACAAAATTTTACTTTTAAAAACTATAATTTATCTATTTTTTCCTTTTGTTGCTTATGCTTTTTATGTCATATTTAAGAAGTGATTTCCTAATAAGTTCACAAGGATTTCCACCCCTTCAAATAGCTTTACAGTTTTATGTCTTATATTTAAGTCTGTCATTCCTTTCTTTCAATTTTGTATATAGTGGTAACTAGGGATCAACACTTATTCTTTTGCATGTGGATATCCAGTTGTCCTAGCTACCCTTATTGAAAAGACTATTATTTCCCTATTGAATTGTCTTGGCAAACTTACTGAAAATCAATTGTCCACAGTGTGAGGGTTTATTTCTGGACCCTCAATTCTGTTCCACTGATTTATTTGCCCATTCTTACACCAGTACCACATCATCTTCATTATTGTAGCTTTGTAGTAAGTTTTAAAATCATGAATAATAAGTAATCCAATTTTGTTCTCCTTCAAGATTGTTTTTGCTATTCTGAATCCTCCGAATTTCCATATAAATTTTAGGATAAGTCTGTCAATTTCTTCAAAAAAAAGAAAAGGCAGCTGAGATTTTGATAGAAATAGGCAAGAGCTGACAACCTTGTCTTGCTCCTGACCTTAAGGAGAAAGTTTTCTTTTCGGTCTTTCACCACTGGGTGTGATGCCAGCTGTGGGTTTTTCATAGATGCCTTTTATCATACTGAGGAAGTTCCTTTTTATTTTTAGTAGTTTTCTATGTTTTTTTTTTTTAATCATGAAAGGGCTGGATTTTTCTCTAATGCTTTCTCTGAGTTGATGATGGTTTTAACCCTTTATTAATACGATGTGATTCATTGATTGATTCTCATCTGTTGAAACAACCGAGTATCCCTAGGATAAATCCCACTTGGCCACAGTGTATAATCTTTTTAACCTGCTGCTGGATTGTTTGCAAGTATTTTGTTGAGGATTTTTGCACCTACATTCATAAGAGATACTGGTCTGTAGTTTTCTTTTCATGTGATGTATTTGTCTGGCTTGAAATTGTGGTGATACTGACTAAGTCAGGAAGTGCTTTCTCTTCTTCTATTGAAGTATTTTTAAATGTGTGTTCTTAATTCTTTTTTAACTATTTGGTAGAATTCACCAGTGAAGAAATCTTGTCCTGAGTTTTCTTTTTCTGTAAAGTCTAGATTTCCTGTTTCTTTCTTAATCAGTTTTGGCAGTTTTTGTGTTTCAAAAATTTGCATACTAATACTTTGCAGCTGTGCAGCTCCATACTTCACTTAATGTTGCTATTGTCGTGGATTACATCTTTGTGCATATGTTCTCATAAACATACATTTATATTTAGTGCTTTATGTAGTTGTCATTTAGATCAGACAGGAAAAAAAGGAATTACAACCAAAGGAATACATTAGTACTGTCTTGTATAATTTCTTATGTCATTATTTACCTTTACCAGTGTCCTTAGTTTCTTCATGTGAGTTAAACTTCTGATGTCCCTTCGTTTCAGCCTAAAGGTCTCCCTATAACATTTCTTATAGGGTACATCTAGTAGTGCAAACTCTCTCAGATTTTAATTTGGAGATTTCTTAATTTCTTGATCATTTTTAAAGGATAGTTTTGCAGGATATAAATTTTTTGATTGATAGTTTTTCATCTTTCAGCACTTTGAATTAGTATTCCACTGCTTTCTGGCTTTCATGGTTTGTGATGAGGAGTCAGCTCTAAGTCTTACTAAGAATCTCTTGTATGTGATCAGTTGCTTCTTTCTAATTGCTTGCAGGATTCTCCCTTTGTCTTTGTCTTTCAACAGTTTGATTAGCGATTACAGTGAAGTACAGTGGAAAAGGCAGTGGTTTTGGTGTGATGCTAACATGGACTTTAACCCCAACTGTGTCAGTTTTTAGCTGGTTTTCTCTTTTTTGAAATATAATGATATCCACTATTAGGATTATTGTGAGAATAAAAAGAAATAATGTAAATGAGGCATGAAGGCAAGCAATAAACCATTGTTCAATTTTCACTGTCTCAGGACAGGGCAGGCTTCCATTTCTCTGCTGACTGATGGATTACTATTGTTACTTCCATTTTATTCACCCTTTGCTATATGTTGCATCTAAAAGAGCTTACATCTAGCATTATGTACAGGAAATGCTACTGACTATACCTAGCTTATTTCAGTGGCCCATACAAACCAGTATTATTTCTCTTAGAGTATCTCCAGGGATGCTTAATAGCAGAACATAATGTCACCTCATGGCCCTTCCTGATATACAACTGTTACCCTTAACTTCCCTTAAATAATGCATTCTGGTAATAAACTGGCTTTATCTATGTTTTTTTTTTTGAACTGTGTCTAGAATTGCATATTTTAGCTCTGCCTCATGAGGAATTACTTACGTATAATTACTTGTTCTATGTGTATAGGAGAAGGCAAATATTTCTGCCTCTGCTCCCTGCAAAGATAGATCTCATCAGAAACATGCATCCTGCTCCAGGAAGATTCAAGCCCTTTGAGCCAAATTGTCTAAACCTTTGGGCAGGACCCAACAATGCAAAGCTTAAGATGTGTGTGGACAAGCTTCCAGTTATTTTTCTTGCTGACTTTGCTGAACCTTTTTCTTGGTTGATGTATGAGCCTTGACTCTAGCTAGGCCTGTTTAATTCATTCCACAAATACTAATTGACTACTTAATATATACAAGGTTTTGTTCTAGGTGCTGGAGATACAGCTTCTGGCAAAAAAAAAAAAAAAAAAAAACACAGACAAAAATCTCTGCTCTCCTGGAACTTATATTCTAGTTTGTCTTTAATACCCTGGTGTAACAAAGAGTTCACTATCTCAAAAAAAGATTGGTTGAAATAAGTCTGTATTGATCAGGCATGAGAAGACCCTCTTTGAACATTAAAAAGGATAATTAGAACTTTGTATCTTAAAGAAATCTAACAAGCAGACCAGACACATCCTCCCTTCTAAATGATGGGGCTTCCTCGAGCTTTCTCTGTTTCTCTGTTATTTTCCCCACCTGGCCAGTTGTGGAAGGGAGATTCTCTCACTGTGGTTCCTGGGCATCTTTGGAGATCTTATGAACGGAAGTCCCTCTGCCACTCTGCCACTCCTCAGCTAATCAGTCAGTGCCCAGGGGCTATTGATTGCTGCATATTATACATGATGGCTAAAAATTTCATAATGCCATCCTTCAGTTATGT